TGTTATTTTATACCAGAGTTGAGATCAGATGATTGTAATGATTTTTTGTGGCCTCAGAAAAAAAAGGCTGAATTGAAGATACTGATAGTCATTCTTTAAAAAAATTGTTTTCTCTTTTAGAAGTAGAGCTGAGCAACAACTACAAAATATTTTTAAACATTAATTTGAATTTCTAAATGTTCATACTTGTGCAGTAGCATAACTAGGGGATGGAGGGTGGTGACCAGGGCAGCAGCCCAGGGTGGGTGGGATGGGGTACAAAAATAGCAGCTGCTGCAACTGCTTACCAACCATTACCAATAGCAGCCAGGCCACTGCTGCTACCCACTGTGCCACTGCCACCCAAGGTGTAGAACTGCCGTGTTACACCACTGAACTGTGGAGAGAGCAATTTTATCCAGTACTGGAGAGTGTTTGATCAAGCACATGGTTTGGATTACAGTCAGCTCACAAAAGAAAGCATGTAATGAAAAGTTAGGCGACAAGTTACCTTAATTTCAAATACTTATAATAAGATTCTTAGAAGCATGCAAAAAACCAAAAATTATTCACAGAAGTTTAGTGAATAATTCTGAGAAACACCTTGAGAAAATGATCCTCTGCTTGCTGTGGACAATTGTAGTATAATGGACTGTAATGTCATAGCATGAACTGCAATTCCCAGAGGGCTGATGGGGTGGAGAGGAAGTGGAGGAAAGCTGGGATGGTGTGTGAAATGGCAGGCCAGTTGGAGAGTGGCAGTGAGAGATGGCAGCCAGAGAGATGTGCAGCAGAGACTAAAAGCAGCATCAGAGCTGAATCTGCAAGCCAACACAGTGGGGCTCAGGCATTGGGCCTGGGTAGAGAGTAACCGAGTGTTGTGGGACCAGAGTGCTCTGGAGCTCCCTCTGGAGTTCCTTCCTCTGGGAGGGTCTAAGGTTTCTTCAGTGTATAATGTTGTTTAAGTTCCCTATCTGTTACCTTTCTATCTGTTCCTGAACGGTTCCACCACTGAGTCACTCTTTATTACCTGATTGTATCTCCTGAATGTATGTACCCTAATGTTTATTCACCTGTGCTTTCCCCATCTCCTGAACCCATTGGCCTGTGACCCTAACCCCCAGTCACCTCTATATAACATTGAGAACCCTCCTTTTTGGCTTTCTGTAGCAGTTTCCAGGGCTCTGGGTTTCAGTAGAATAGTAATAAGCAACAGTTGGTGTTGAATTCATCAGATAAAATTATGAATTAATTGCTCAACTCTGATCACAGGCTCTGACTTGGGTTATCTGTGTCAGGCATCATAACTACTGTGGGTTGAAATAAAACTCTCTACACATCCTTGATTAGCAATACAGGCAGCATGCTCTCCTAAAGCTTTTAAGATGTGCCAACTTCTTTTCTAGGTCTTTTCTATCCCCTTTAGAAAGTGGTACCTGAAGAAAAGGTTGCCTAGTGAAAAGGTGGTATTGAATAACCACAGTAGGGGTGCTCCTGATTCCACAAAACAGACAAATATATGCTTACATCTGTCCCTGTTCACCACAACACTTACTTAACCTTAGGTATGTCCATAAAAGTTTTTCTGGATCAATATTTGCAATTCAATGAGAACATCGGTTCCCAAACTAATGAAAAAGAAATCTAAATTGCCAGGAAAACAAACAGTGAGGAATGATTGTGAAATGGGGTCTGAGCTCTATAACTAAAACTCAGCCAACTCAAATCAAATGTTTTTTTGAATAGCATTCATCCTGCTCCTTTATTAGCCAAAGATAGTTTATCTGGTTACAGTGGTACCCTGAATAGAACTGGACAATTTACATTTGCTTATGGATGGATGTCTTTTTATTTAATGCAGGGCACCTGTCACAAATATCTCTGCACTATTACTAGCAACAGCTGTTTCAAAGTTGACAAAAAAGGTTTTTTTGTTCAGGAAGGCTTATCTCTCTTAGGCTAGGTAAAGACATTCAAAAAGCCTGGGGCGGAATTGATCTAAGTTACTCAGTTTTCTGTAAGCAGTGTAGTTTAGATCGGTAGCAAATAGAACACACAGTTGCCCTGGGGGCGGAAGGAGGCAAATCTTAGAGCAAGTTCTGCCATTTTTAAACCAGCCTGTGTGTGCTGAACTTCTCTTCTGTTATGAGTATAGACTGGATTCCAATCACTTATACCCATAAAACTGAAATGTCTGTACCTTGCCTTAGTGACATTTCTCTCACTGCTCCAAAGAAGTTTTAACTCAGCAGGAAGAATGGCACTTGTGTGTATCTGAGGGACATTTTCCATGTTGAAGTCATGTGCGAGTCTGGGATACACCAAACTGGGAAGGCAAGGGAAGACAATATAGCTCACTGCTGCTAAGGCTATGAGTAGGCCATGAAAAACAGCATGAATTAGCGTAGCTTTACAGTTTTTGATCTGGTGAACTGACCATTTAGATAATGTCAGAAACATTATGTGAAGCATTGAAGCTAGATGCTTAATGGCTTCATTCTGGTATTATACAATATGTTTTAAAGACAGAGAAATACACAGGAAACCTGGCAAGTGTTCTGTTGAGCAGTGAAGAGACAACACTTAACAGAGATAAAAAATATCTCTGTAGCTCTCAGTTGTCAGAAGGTTTCCATAGATATTCAGGACAGGTGGCCCATGATAGAAGGAAAAGGCACTTTCGACTAGCAAAAATGATAAATTGTCAGACAGTACGGTCGTTTGACTTCAACATATTGTTTTAGTTGTAGCTGGAGTTGCTTTGTACTTGATGAAGAAACATGAATAACTTAAAGCAGAATTTCATCACACTGAAGTCTACCCAGGGAGTTAGCTTCTAAAGTCTGATTTTCAGCTTAGCCCCAAGCTGGGACATTATTGCTATTGCATTTTTTTAGCTTGAAATTCATGGAGAGAGACTACCTAGATTGCAAATCTGTTTCTACTAAAGTCAGCGGGAGTTATCGGTACCTTCAATAAATCCAGGATTTTATCTTAGTCTGAGGGTGCAAACATTGTTCCTGATCAACAAATTCAGACACTCTTCTTCACAAGGAAGCAACAATATTATAAGTGAATCCAAACAAATTTTGGAAATTCTTCAAGCTTTGGAACTTAATTAGGCTGTGACATCACTGGGACATGTCAGAGACAACTTATTATTTCAGTGTGACAGAATCACAGCAAGATGTACTTTTTTAAGGCCTAATTTCAATGAACACTTAAGAAATTAAGATCTGCTTACATATATAAGACCAAATGGGTAGCTGCAGTCATCCACTGCATTGTGTACTGGCAGGCAACCTTCTCAGTTTGTTTCAAGTCACAGTAGTAATAATGCCAAACACAGAGCTCCAGCTTGCTGAGAACCAGTTTTTAAGTAACATCACAGTGACCCTATGAAGACCTTCTGGGTTTTGCTTGATGGTCTTAGTGCTCTCTACTTCTGAGAGATCTGTGCCTAAAAGAGTGAAAGAAACATTGTGAAAGCAATCATGTTTGTGTTACAACAATATGTAGGATTTCAGGAAGAATGTCTTACATTCAAAAGCTTGCCTAACTTTATCTCAACTACGTATTTGGGCCAATAAAAGATATCACCCTAAGAAATACTTGCTTTGCACAACAATATGTAGTTCACTCATCTAATAGAATGTATGTTAAAAATCTATCTTGATTAAACACTGAGCCAATACACATTTTTTCCTGGATTCAGCTTATGTCAAATGTCAAGATTGATGGCCAACAGTACTGTTACCTTTGGTCAGACAAGCCTTCCCAGGCATCACTGTGTCTTGCTTCCCGGTCCTTGTGGAGGTGACCTTAGAAATGAGCATTTGATTCTCCTGCCATAATTTTAAGAGAACCATCCAGAGGTTCTAAGAGTTTACAGAAAATAATGAATATTTCCTGAACAAAGATATTGTGGTGAATAGATAATTAATGTAAGTGGAAAACAAGAAGCATTTCATGCTAATGAACAATAGTAAGCATGATGTCAGTATTTAACCAATAATTATTTTAATTATACAGGAGTAGCACATAAAAGTCCTAGTTGGAGTCAGAGATTTGTTGGTCTAGGTTTTGTGAAAAGTAATTAAAAGAAAGATTTTCATTCTATCCGAGAGCTCACAGTCAACAATTATGACAAGGTATTCCACTGAAATGAAACAGACTGGGACTGGGAAAGAGAAAAACCACAGCAAATAAATGTATAACAAGACAGGCTTGATTGAATTTGAAGGCAGGCCTCCAGACTATAGTTCAATAAACCTAAGTCTCAATGTCTCTGGACATGAATCAAAGCTAAATATCCTTAAATTTGGGAGGGGGTGGGGCGGGGGGGCAGGTCTGGGGTTTTCATTTGGCTTCTGATAGATTATGTTGCCAAGTGCAAGATTCAGATTCAGATTTAAAGGTCTGAAGAGCATCAGAGTTCAGCTTTATTCACCGGGCAGGTTATCAGATGGCATCTAATGGCACAGATCCTTTTCAGTCAGCAGAGCAGTAAGTTCACCCATGGGGTTTTGATTTAGATGAACATCTTTAACCATACAACAACAGCAATAAGTCTTTTGTATCATCAGACAATTCACAGGTAAGAGTAGTGAGGAATAAGAATCACCCTCAAGATAAGAGATATAGTTACAGCCCTATATGTCTGATAGAAGTTTTAAAGAAACCTTTTTTCTAGAGCAAACTACATAAATCAAAGCCAGGGGAGGGCGGAGGGTTTACTTAATATAAAAAAACAACCAGTACAAGTAGTAGTTTATGCAGGGTTGTGTCAGGCATGCCTTGAAGGTTGTTTCCTCACTTCACTCCACGGTGACCTTTTGAACTGGTTGCTGAGGCTAGTGTCTGGAGATGTGGAGGCTGGCGGGACTAGAGGTGAAAAGTTCTCAAGGAAACAGGTGAAAGTAGGGGGGCGTGTTTCCTACAGCTCTGACATGGAAATTAAGTTAATAAATTTTTCTTGGAAAATGCCTTAGTTGATTACTGCCTGTAGAGCATTATTAGAGCTTCTTTTGAAGTCCAAAGAGTTTAAGGATTTTCTTAAATCTCAACAGTTCCCATGGGTAAAGATCAGAAGGATGTCATCTTTTGGAGTCAGCCTAGTTAATAAAGCAGGTGAAAGCAAGGAAAAAGCAGTGATATGTGACTGTTGGATCTATTTCTGGCTGCAAAAGTAACACATAGCATCATATCTCCCATGTTTACCAAATAGCCTGAAATGGTGCAAAAGTCCTTGCAGTGTGCAGTGATGGATTTAGGCTTGAGCTACAGTTTAGAGCCTCACAATATGAGGGGCCTCTGAATAAGAAAAAAAACCTGGACATTTTCATTCTAATATGACAAAATATACATATATATGGCTCCACAGTTATTATTCATATTGAGTTCATAAATTTGTGCAGAAATAACAATAATGAATCTTAGAATTTCATGAAAATCCATTTTCATGGATTATTTTAATTGTATGAGGCCTGTTAAACTGGACATAGTTTAGGGCCTCAGCATGTCATAATCCAGCACTGACAGTGTCGCACCTCTTTGCAGTTACAGTTTTCAAAAAAAACACAAATCTTCATATGTAATAGTATAAAACACAGGTTAAGCTCCATGCAGGCAATACTTTCTGGACCAGGAGTCACTGTCTAATCAATTGGCATCCTCCGTGGATCAGTCACAAGATGTGTGGGATTCTCTGCAATTCATTAGGTCCAATGATTAGCAGAATTTTGGTAAACACCCTTGAGAGGCTTTTGGAATCATTTAGATCCTTAAACTGGTGCTTATAATGACCATTCCTCCTTCCTGCTCCCCACTGGAGGTTCAAATAATTTGGGAGCTTTCTCCTGGGTTTGTTTTGTAAGAAGAACTTACCCAGAGATGCCTGAACAGGCATTCAAATACTGAGACTCTGAAGAACAGAGAGCTTGCTGTGTATCCGGGGGGCCCATGTACACACATTTCAGCATGCTCAGCAGATTCTTTCAGTCTGCCTGGTGACAGATGCCAGCAGTGCACAGGGCAGTTTTGACTAGCTGACCCAGACTGTGTGACCCTGTAGTACAATGTGGGATTGTGAAGGGTATCATGTTCTGCTCCCTGTTCATCTGGAGTAGTAGAGTCCAGCCTGAGTGACACACTGTCTTGGTTGGGGAGGGTCAGAAGCAAAACACCCGGGGATGCTGGAGGACTATGTTGGTGTTTCTCTCACAAGGGTGAGTTCTACAAAAATTTGTGCTCTCAGGAGAAACTCTCCTGGGTATGACTTTAATTTGGTTATTCCCAGGTTATTTTTTCTCTCAGAGCAGGTATTTTTACTCTGGGAGAAAAATCCTGAACATCTAAAGACTCATGGATTCTCCTGGGAGAGCAGTGAGGGTGGCTCTACATGTTATTCCAATCACAGCACTGCTTTCCTCACGTGATGCAGACATTGCGCCATGTGCACAGTGACATATGCATAGGGCAAGCTGTCAGGAGGAGGGAAAAAGGAATAACAGCTTGTAGTGCTGCTGCTGACCAGCTGAGGGAGCTCTCACCAGTCAGCACCACCACTGAAAGAATTAGATGACTCTGTTAAGGATTCATCTCCTAGGACCCCCAGAGTTTCCCTGGGAAGCAAGCTTGGAGGTTGGGGGGAGGGATCCTCCACCACTTCATGGAGGCAGGGACATGGAGTGCATGGAGCCACAGACATCAGCACGGGTAGGGGAGTGAAACCCCTCCATCCTTCTCTGAACAAGCATAGGGAGCTGGGGATATCCTGCCCAGCCACAGAGCAGCCTGGTCTACAGGGAAGCAGCAAGCACAAGGTGTGTGTGTGGGGGAGGAATTCCTCGCTTCCCCCCGTGCTCGCTGCTACCTGGAATGTTCCAGTGTAGTAGGTGTCCCTGCTTATTTTCTCTGTGTTCACATGGAGAATGGGAGGCAGCATTTCTGCTGCTGGGTGCTGCTGGATAGAGAGAATGACCTAGGGCTCCAAACTATGCCAGGGCAGGGGTTTCCCTCTTGTTCTTTTCCAGAGAGGTTTACACTGGAGATGGTGCAATGCACCTTGGGATACTGGAGGTCCAGTAGATTTTCTGTGATTACTATTACACAATGTACTCCTTGCTACATGTGTAAATTATAGCTGGATAGCAACCAGCTATAAAGTTAGTACACATTTTTGAAGTCTAACTTTATACCTGGTTTCAGCTTTTAATAGCATGACAGGTACTTTTGCACATGTAGCTGGTCTCAGTTAATTGCACAATTTACACATTACAGTTATTCTGCAATTAACTGGTTGAGGCACCCTGAGTATCTTAGGAGAAACTGAACGTCTGTAAACAGGTCATAATCATTTCACCTGACTTCTTACATAATACAGTTCAGAGACTAAGCTCTGGTGGAGTGACAGAACAGAACAGCAGGCATAGAGAACCTGCTCTCATTCTAGTCTCCTGTTCCCTGAGAAATGCTATCTCCCTATTACTGCCTACTCTGCTCCCCAGCACTTTGATATACTGTGTATCTTTTGGGACACACAAGGGGTCTGACTCCAAGCTGTATGGACTCATTGGAAAATCTCCTATGGACTTCAGTGGTTTTTTGAGAGCACCTGGTGTTCATTTAAATTCCACCATAAAACAAAATGTCACTGTGTCAGTGAAAAATTACACAGATGGCATTAAAGAACTGTACAGAAAGCCAGAGTAGACACGGCTTGAAGGCACAAGCTTCAAGCTGCATATCATGACTAGACCCAGAGCCATCATTAGACTCATGAAAATCCTCCCCTGCTCCTATTTACACATTAGATGATCTGTACTGTTATCTTATAGCACCCAGCATCTGCCTAAAGCTATGACTGAAAATGATTACTTGGGAGAAATTTTTAGAGATGTTGAATAAACCCCAACCCTCTACTGTCCTCACTAGAAGTTGAGCACCTAAGCAGAGTACCTTGGAAACCACATCTAAACACACTGAAGAAAAGAAAAAGTTCCATAGATTTGAGCAGCAGAAGGAACCATAGCTATGAGCTAATCTCAATTTTTGTGTAATACAGGTCAGAGACATACATCTAGTTCTTGCATCAATCCCAGATCCCATAGTTAAGCTAGCTCATACAGAACATCACCCATCATGTACTCCAAGTGCTAGGGAATTCTCCATGTCTGTAGGTACCAGAGATTAATTAAACTTGTTGTTAAATATTTGCATTTTATTTCTAGTGTGATTTTTACCTGGGTCCAGCTTCTGGACATTGGATATTGTTTAAATGGTCTGGCACAATCTTGATTGCAGGCCAAGGGGCTTAAAAAACTCCTGCTTGAAGGGTGATTGCATGCTGAAGCAGATGGATAACATACTTGGACTGAACAGAGAAACTGTAATGCATTGTGATGTGCAGCTTGCTCAAATTCTGTGTGACATTTGGCACAGACCTCACTTCCTGCTTTATCCCTCAGGAGAGCATCATGAAGAAAACTTCTAGATTAGGGTTGTCATGAGGGATGGTTCAGACCTCTGCATAATTCACATAGGAAAACTTTATGTAGTTTGCACATGATTACAAGCTTAGCCAACATTTCCAAAAATACCAGGCCAGAAGCAGAGGCACCTATAATGTGATATAGAGCCTACCATGTCTGTGTAACTGGTTCAAATCTGCACTGGACAGTGGAGGCCAAACATTATTATTACAGTATTGGGTGGTTCTTGATGGTAGTAGTGGTCCAAGTCCAGTTCCTCATCAGACAGATTTCAGTACCATGCACTGGCACCAAAATGAGTAATTAGCCACTTCCTAGGCTATACAGAAAGAAGCAAAAGTCTATGTGGGTGTACTGCCCAGCCCCTAAAGGTAGTCCAGTGGGTTTACAGTGGAATCACATTGGAAGATTGAGGAAGGGAGGCTGCACTCCTTACGTGTGCAGTCCTGGTTCTGTGGGTAGACAGAATTGCTGGTTTCCTCCCTATTTTTCTAAATAAAATAAAGCTGGGACTAAGCTCTGGCCCTAATGAATCAAATGCACAGTTTTTACCCTAAGAAGCAGTCTCCCTCCTGCCCAGAGAGCCTTAAATAAGTAGAAGAGATAAGCTGTTACACTCTACATGCTGTTACTTCTTCAGTGGGGATGGAAGCAAGCAAGGAGAAAGTGGGGGGTGGGAATAAGATAACTTATCATTATCTATTCACAAAATTCTCCAAGGAAGGGGCATACAAGGGATCCAGGTGCCAAGTATCACAGCCCTAATTGTACTATGACTGGTGTTTCCATTCTACAAAGCATTTTCACACCAGCTTTGCCCAAGCATTGAGGAATTGACCTTCTGTGCTTAATAACATGCAAAGTGCTCAGTGCACAACACTGAATTCTACCAGGCTTTAGGTAGGGCTTAATATGTAGTTTGCAGCAACACTTTATCAAGAATGCTGGCTTGTTGATCTCTTGCCATGTGACTGTGCAGACATGAGTAAGGTCATTTTCTCTCCAGGCAGAAAGTTAGTCATGTGATGCAAGAATGCTGCCAAAATGTGTTGTTTCTGTTCAGCTCCTGTCAAGGTTTGACAGCCTATTAGCAGTTAAACAAAAGGGTGGGCTTGCTTTTTCCTATAGGCACAAAGAAGAGTCTCTTAGTTCTAACGGAGACTAAGAGATACCCTCCGCCACTTCCTCCCCAGCTCTCTTATGAAACAGAACCTCGGTCATAACAATCACTTGGATAAGATAGCAAAAGTCTACATACCATTAGGGTCCATGGCCAAGGGCAGAAATTTAGGACTATGCATTTTCCACAAGGCACTGTGCAGAGCTCACTGATGTCAGGAAAAGGGGTGCTCACCGTCTGAGTTGAAAATATGGCCTTTATGTCATAGTTAAATGTTTAGCCCATTATTTAATATTTATCATTCCAGAAGCCTACTCCCTTCTAGTCTAACATTATGCTGTCCTTGGTTTCTCTTCCTTCCTGTTCCTCCTCCTTTTCTCTTTCCCCATTCCTTTTTCTTTTCCCTGTAGCAAAGCCCTTCCCCACCCACTCCATACGTTTTATCCCACTTCTGTTCTCCTCCTCTACTAGGCTTTCAATTCAATTCACTTATCTCACCGGCAAGGGCATAAGGCAGAAGTAATTATTCACCAGTCAATTCTGTGCTAGGCTACTTTCAAGAATTACCATTGCTTTGGTAGTTAATATTCACAAAGATCAGCCCCATCTGATTAACAGGGAAAACAGTAGTTTGTGTTCCAAGGAAAGGTTTAGGACAGATGGCAGATTTAGGCAGACCTCACTGGATCCACACATATTGGTCACATTTCAAAGGTTCTTCCTGTTACAGGGGCTAGATGTTTCTCTTAAACAGGAAATCTGAGTCTGCAAGATCTGAATAACACCAGTGATCACACAGGCCATGTTTGCTACTCCTAATGGGGGATTTCATTGAGCAGATGCTAATCATAACATAAAAAACAAAACAGTTGTAACTTCCAAGAACTGCAAGAGTGTTTACTTGCAATATGTAAGAATGATACCAGTATCACCCTAATCTATGCAGAACCTAGGAAGGATGTGGTCCACAACAAACAAGGCAGACAGAGCTGGAACCCAAGCTGCATGGAAGAAATCCTATGTGCTTACTCTGTCATTGTAATTTTTGTTATTATTAAATAGCTTTAAAGCTACTAATACGCATGACAACTCGAGTTATCCAAGCACATTTCTTATGCATTTGTTCTTTTTTGTTTGGGATTTTCAACACAAAAATGTTCTGCTCAGAACATCACTTAATTACTTAAACATCTCTCATTCTGCATCTTCCCAGTGTCTAGGGTGGGAAGGAGCATGAACGGTGTGTGCCTCCAGCAGCTGGTGGGGCACGGTGGCAGCGGGAGCATGGCGGCAGTAACCTGGGAGCTCCTGCAGACACTGCCAGGACTGTTGGTGACACGGTGGGGGGTGGCGATACAGCAGCGGTGTTGGCGTCAGGGTGGTGAGCAGCAACCACCTACAGGCACCACTGACTGTCAGTGTGTCTTTTTGCAGGGGGTGCACCACCACACTCAGGGGGTGCATGTGCACCCATATGTACCCCCTACGCGTTGCCCCTGGGAGGGATTATTCTTCAGTTAAAGTAGAACTACATCTTTCACAGGGTCACATTTAAAACTGTATGGGTTTCCGTCTATTTCCAAAAATCACACAAACCAAGGATTTCTGATACGGAAAACTGCAGTTATATTTTTGCAGCCTGCAAAGTTAGTGTCAAAAAAGACAGGAGCAAGCAACACAACCCCAGGGGGAAATTCTGGCCTTTCTGAAGTCAATAGGAGTTTTGCCGTTGACTTCAATTGACTATATGCATTGACTATATGCACCTCACTGATAAGGGCTGACAGTTATACCATTTCAAGTGCCTACTGTTCACTTACTAGTACTGCAGATCTATAAACATGCAAGCATCACCTGCTGCTGTAAGCCTGGTTGCCTTTTTCACATATATTGCTTTTTATAATGATCTAACTATTTGATTTGTTCTTGGTGTGCAACACTGAGACACAAAAACCATTAAAGCAAAACATCGGAAATCTCTCAACATAAATCAGAGACTAGGCTGCTTATGCAGCCCCCCCTGCTTATTATTCACTAGTAATGTTACAAGATTCCCTATACCTTCCCATTTTAGGTATGACACCCTGCCTTAGTTTCCCCTCTTCTTCAGAGCCCAGCTCACTCAAGTCTCCAACAGCAACAAATTTCACAAGAAGTCTCCCCTCCATACAAAGCTTTTATTCATTAGGGGGCAGGAAAGTAACCCCCCCAATCATTATGTATCCAGACTTTTCAAGTCCTTTTGAGCCTCCTTCAAATAGAATAATCTTTCCTAGTTTTTGTTCAGGGGATCATCATATCTCGTAGCCTAGGCCCCTTTTGACTTGCCTCCTAGGCTTCTGACCTAGCTTGCCACATTCCACTAGATACATTCTCTCCAGACTTACTCTCATGCCTGTTTTTCACCAATTTCCATCAGGCACTTTCCATACCTCAGCTTCCCTTCCCTCTCCCTCAATATAGTTCTCATAGGCAGCCTGGCCCCAGTCACATGACCCCCTCCTGCATGCCTTTGCATTAATTGCAACCAGCTGTGGGGGGGGGGGGTTAACCTTGTCAAATAGATTAACTATTTCCTCCCAGGCAAGGGATGGGGTACCTGCACTCTGATATAAGGTCCTGTAGACTGGACTGTATCAGAGGTCCAGTGGGCTAGACACTGTACAAACATGGAACACGTGATAGTCCTATTCTGCTTTTAGGGGTTTAATTGGCTACATGCAGCCTATGTATTTTGTTAAGTTTAGTAAACACCTAAAGGCTAATCATTCTCATCTGGTGCTTGGTCATGGTAGGGGAAGAGGAGCCGCAGTATGAAGCAGACAACCCGCTTCCCCCCCACCCCTCCAAGCATCCATACTGCTCCACCACTTACAAGACGCAGCATATTTCCTTCTGCACACTGGTCGCGGTTCATGGGAGCTTGTGTCCCCGACTCTGAGGGTGAAGTTACATGTTACACTTAGACCATACTAAGGGCACTTAAAACATGAGCATCCCCATGTTAAAGCTTATTAACTCATGCTAAATGCCCCCTGAGCATCGCAAAGTTACATGCCTACTGGAGAAGGTTTACTTTGAGCTGTGTCCCAGCTTGTGTTAGGGTAGCTTCAGGCTACTCCATGGAGATAAAAGGAGCAATTTGCACTCTTCCAGCATCCCACGACTTTCAGACCCCCTGCCCTCTCACGCAGAATAGCAATAAAGCTTAGGTGTCCTGGCTTCTAGCTACATCCCTACTCACCAGCCCTCTAGTGGCAAGTCAGAACAGGCAGAAAATGGTATTAACCCTTAATGTCTAACTGCTGACAGCATATTCTAACTTAACACTGTCTAACGTGCTACAGATGCAGAATGGTCTAAGTGTAACATGTAATTTTAGCATGAAATGACCAGGCTAGTTACAGCCCCCAAAGATGGCACTGATCAACTAGGAAGAGTTGGGCTATGCTGTGCTTTGGCGACACTCCCACCAACCATGTCTCTATACCAGTGGTTGCAGGTAAACTGCAGTTTAGGAAGTGACTACAGAATTGGCTTTGTGACTGTTGAGTACCCTGCCATGAGAGGAGAGCCTCCAACAAAGGAACACACAGCTGCTTTCCATCTTGTATTAGTTGTGAGAAAGAAGTGGGCAAGAGAACCTGGATCACGTATTTAAGGAGAATGGAGAAATGCAGGGGCCTGACCATAAAATATGGAGGTGATTGCTAGTTTAAATTCATCTCAGGGATTAGAAGATTTTCCCTATTGTCTGCAATAAGTTTGTTAGTTATTGCCCCATGGCACCTGTGGTCCCATCCCAGAATCCAGTAGAACTGCTTCTTTTATCAGAAAGAGATAGAAGTACTGACCAGCTCATTCTCTGAGGTGACCCCTGCAGGCCAAGTTGAGTCAACTTGGAGGACTGATTCCAGCCATGGTATTCCCATTTTACAGAAGAACAGAAAAATGCAGGGTCTAGAATCGTGGATCTAGCACTTTTCAGGGACGCTACAAGCTCCCAAAAGTTGTCTTTAAAACACATTTTTCCCCATTAAGGAATGTATCTGTATAAAAGGGCAACAGTGAATCAGTGCAAAAGTGCATTGTCAGCCTGCTATTTCTTGGGGCTGGAGAGGCACATGAATACAGAATTGCAGTGTCTGAAGTCACAGCAAAGGGACTTTTCTTGATTTACGGTACAGAACATTTTCAGGTCATTCAACTACCTGTCACCTGTTTTTCACACCAGATATTTTGTGTTTGCTCTGTAGTTTCTTATGTTTCTACAAGAAACCTGCCAAGATCCAATGTGGGTCTAAAATACAACAGAAGAACCACAAGAAGCAGTAAACATTCAGGTAGTACTGTCCAAGGCCAACACAGTATTTGAGAAGTATATACACTCTGGAAAAGATATCATTGTTTAGGATGGGTGTTAGGGAATGGGCACCTAACTGGGTATAATGGAGAGGAAAAGTAAGACTGAGTATCAGGTAAAAACTTTCCAAACAGAGAAGCACTGGCAACGCGTAGGGGGTGCACGTGCACCCCCTGAGAATGGCAGTGCACCCCCTGCAAAAAGTGCCACCAATGCTGCCGGTGGTACCTGCAGGCAGTTGTTGCTCACCACCCCTGCCCCTTGCCGCCGACACCGCCAGCAGCGTCTGCGGGCAGTCCTTGATTGCTGCTGGCACCACTGATGCTGCGGGCAGTGTCTGCAGGTGGTTGCCAACCGCCAGTCAGCACTTGCCACTCCCTCCACCACTGCGGCTGCCTGTGGGAGCTCCCTGCTTGCTGCTGCTGCGCCCCCACCGCTGCCGCCTGTGGGTGGTTGCCATGCCCCCCCCCGCCTCAAGGGGCATGTATCGTTCATGCAGGGAAGTATATTAGGATGCAAGGTCTCCCCTCTACTCCCAAGGCAGTGGCAGATGCCTTATGATACAGAACAATTAAAACTGGGCAAAACATTTGAGAATAGGCATTATGGAACAATCCTTTATTGGCCATTGTTTAATTTGACTTAATAGGACTTTCCCACTCTGATTTCTAGCATAGAGCCCTGCAAGAACCTCCTTTAGTTTCAGAAGTTAATATTTTTTCTCTTAACTGCCTTTAATAAAAAGGTGAAAGTCTGTGGCAGGAATACTAGATTGTGAAAATATAGTGGCATGGGAGATGCTCATGGATATACTGGAAAGGAATATACTTGACCAAGTGTCATCCTTATTCTCCACCACATCCTAGTAGAGGTACTGAGTCACACCATTTACAGGAGCCTGTGCTTTGACACCACAGAAGCAGACTAGAAAGACTGAACCACAGATAACAGAGACAACATCTAATATCAGCCAAGCAAACTAATAGTCCTGAGCCAGGGACATCTCAGTATCCTCTCCTCTAAAATCAGCCATGTACGCAGGAGATGTTGAGCCAGCAGGAACCTTACAAAAGGCTGGGCCTTCCCCTAAGAGCAGTAAAAAACTAGATGTTCTGAACGACTTCATTAAATGGCTTACATCAAACTTCAAAAAGACATTACATGTGAAAAACTGATCCAAGTAAAACAAAGTAAAGTGGAAGACGTGTCTCCACAATCAATGAGGAAATCTTGTCTTCTTGAGTTGCTGCCTCCTTTGCCCTGCTGATACCAGCATCAACTGTTCATGTCAGGTCTCTGTGCCAACTTCTGTCTTCTGTTCCCATCCTTCTTTCATGGGACATGCTCTCTAAAAGGATCTATAAGGCCATGTGGCAGGGCATTGTAGGTGTCTGCCACTTTAAGGGCCAGAAGACAGCAGCCAGCAGGTGCCTGATGAGGACAGCCATTTTGGAGTCAGGGCTACCCATATAAACAGGGCAACAATACTACCTGGCTGGAGGACTGCTGGTGTTATCTGGAGGTAAGGGAGGAGCTGTAGGGGATGGTCAAGAGGCTCCTGGTCCTGGGCATGACCTAAAACTGCACCCTGCCGAGAGTGGGTGGCCTGGTGGGGCTCTCAGTGGTGTGGGAGCCCCCAGGAAATGCCAGGCCAGTTGCCACCCCAGTGAAAGGTGGGTTGGGGCACCTTAACCCCAATCCCCCAACAACTGGGTGGGTTACCCCCTTGTAGGGTCTGGAAGGTGGACCCTAGTGAGACAGTGGGGCCATAGACTCAAACCTGTCTTGACATCCCCTGACTGCTCCAAGCTGGGGCCAGGACCAGAAGGGTCGAAGGGTCAGGGGCCCACCACAAGGAATGCCCAGAACTGAAGGCCTGGGGCTCTGACTGGCTTGGAGGTGGGCCAGGGCTAGTGGAGCCAAAGGTCCCCGGGGGACCACACCGGAAGGGGAAGCAGCTCAGGGAGCTATGCAGCCGGGAATGAAGACAGCATAGGTCGCCTGAATGGAGGGATCCAGGAGGGGTTTGAATGGTAGGATTCTGGGGCCCAATATGGGGCTGGTGATGTTGGTTACATCTGGATGCCATCTGTGAGGCTTGGGCTGCAGTGTAGGGAAGGAATGGAGCTGCAGATAGTGCCCCCTGGCATTGGGGCAAGAAATGGGCAGCCTTCTGCTTAATTAACATCAATTAATTAACGACAAGGTATGGTGGGCGAGAAGGCGGTGGTTAGCTCAGAAACAGGTGGATGGGCCACAGGCAAATTGTCCCCGAGAAGGCCCCCCTGTTACAGGCCACCACCTTGTTTTCAAGAGCCACCTTTTAAGAGAGATTTTCCTAGAAAAGATGTGTTGGATAGCACTCAAATGGGTTAATGTTATACCTTGCGTGTTCACCCCTGTGTCATTCTTGTATTATTGCTAATAAAGAACTTACCTCTGCTGAATACCACGTGGGCCTCTGCTGTGCTCCTTCCTGAACCAACATGACACTATTCCACAGTACTCAGTTCAGTGTAAGCAGTATTTTACTGGCTTTGCCAAATCCTATGGACATTTCTATAGGAACGCCTTTCTGTGTGGGTGTTGACAAGCCCATGAGTGCTGCAAAGCCTTGCTGCATGCCTGAATGCTTTTCACCAGCACTCAGCAGATGGTGAGAAATGAGTTCTTCAAATCTGCACCTGCGTGTGTGTGTTTTCCTGGTGCACTGGGTTTAAACTGAGTAACAGGCATAAAATCCAGAGAAAACAATGCTGCCAAGAACAGGTTTCTGAGCATTAATTAGTAAGGGAAATAAATGGAATTACAGAATTAAGGTAGAGTCTCAGCATGAATGACCCAAATCCCTTTCTTGTGCTGGTGTGCACACAGCATGCCATGAAGGAACAAGGATTTTTTTCAGAGTTAATTTGGCACCAAGATAGAACAGCAAAAGCAAATTCCTTTACAGCCTGGCAATGACAGACTTAATTTGCTGATCCCACTTAACTTGATGCTTGTAAATGTACCAGAATATACTTTAAA